CCAGAGCAGCTTTTGCGAACCTACGTCACCTGTGGCGTAGGCGTGACATCAGCTTCTCTGTCAAGGGTCGAGTTTACAATGCTGCGGTGCGCTCCATATGGATCAGAAACCTGGCCGCTGCGCGCCGAGGACGTCAAAAGACTTTCAGTGTTTGACCATCGATGTCTTCGGAGCGTTGTCCGAATCTAGTGGGAACACCGGATCAGCAATTCTGAAGTACGTCGAATGGTATTCGGGAGAAATAACTCACCCTCGATAGATGAACTAATCACACTGCACAGGTTGCGCTGGCTTGGCCACTTGCTGCGTATGCCAGTCGACCGACTTCCTCGAAGGGCTCTTTTCGCCCAACCACGTGAAGGGTGGAAGAGAACCAGAGGCGGTCAAACAATGACTTGGCAGCGAAGTGTGAAAGCCAGTACCAGCAAACTCAGCTGCGCTGGTCACTGCCGTCTTCCTGGATGGGAACCCCGAGACGGGCCACATCAATGGCTGGAGACATTGTCAGACATGGCCCAGTCGCGCCCTCAATGGCGCTCGTGCATCCAAGCTATTGCCTTCAATGCATAGCTCCTTTTCCACCCACCCCGCAGTTGACAGCCCACTGACAGTGCTGGATTTATGCACCAACTTACCATCTCGCGCCTGCAATGCGCAGCTACCTACCCCCTCCCCCCAATCATCGGTGAACGAAACTTCGGCAGCTACAACCAGTGTACGACGAGTACGCGGTTATTACAGCTGACAATGATGATGATGATCCTTGCTCATCAGCCTTGGTTGCTTCGCCTCCCGCATCAGCTTCTCTTCCTCTTAACCTATGTATGTTGAATTCGTCCTCAACCTTGACTGTTCACAGGTTCATTAGGTAGCATTTGCTTTCTTACCGCTCCTTTTAACTGCATTGTTTGTTGCTTTTCACATACTCACTGCGTTTCTCCATAAATACAGGGTCGCTCCCAATCTTTGCCATCTAACCTGCCGCTCACCTATTTGTCGTTAGTAGGCACTGAAAGTAAAGTCAATGATGGGTCGAGTCACGCCAGTCTGACAGACCTGAACGGAGAAGAGCCGCCTGTGGCAAACATGCCAGCAAGTGTTACACCCAGTGGTGCGTGTATTTCTGCTCCATCGAAGCGTCGAGAAGGCTTTTTCCGGCGGCGTCGAAACTCGTTAACTCAAGATTCCATATCTGCTGGAAATGCTGTTGGATCTAGTACCACCTTGGGCACTCCAACTGATTCAACCGCCTCGCCGATCCAGTCCAGTGGTAGCCTCAGTGCGTTTAATATCGTTGCTAAACGAGGACTGCGTCGGCTGGGGACGCCTAATTCGAACGGGAAAGAAAAGCTCGGAAGCAAGTCAGAAATTAAATCAGGTTGGTTGTTTACTGTCTTTCCAAATGTGTCTCAAGTGCCACACACCTACTTACCGGAGCTTGTGAGCTGTTTTGTCAACGCTATACAGTCACTTAATCTTGGTACAACGGCTCATCACTGGTGCTGCAAACTTAGTCTACACCTATTTTCCCCTTTTTCCAGCGTTTACGAGCTTCCTGACCATTTTCTGGTTACACTGCTTTCAAGAGGTTACTTTTTGTAGGGTGCACGCGTATCTAACTTTTATAATGACACATCCGGCTGGGCTTTCTTGACACCTATTTTTTCAATATTCTAGTCGCACTCTGGCATCGATTCGTCGATCTTTTTCTCAACCTCCACTTAGAGAGCAAACTATAAGTACACTGAATTCTTCTTTCAGATCACTTGTCTGAAACTCTTGGAATCAGTTTATCGTTCATTAAGCGCGTCAAATAGCGCCTCATCACAGTGTTGTCGTTGTTGTTCTTACCATTCCTCAAACAGAAGTTCCTTCCGGTAGTGATGATTGGCAAATAACCACTACACCTCTCGAGCTCCCGAAGGACGAAGAGGGCTATTCCATTCGCCCCTCTGATCCGTGGTCTGAGGGGCTTGGCGATGACCAAGCCGAACTGACTAATTCCGACTCCGGATCTGATTCTGAGGTAGATGTTGTGGGACGCAGCTTTAAAGGATTAAAGGTGAGTTGGTACACTCTTTAGTACACAGCTGTTCTTTTGCATCCTCACCACACAGAGTCTGCAACCTTTGTTTTATTTTTGTTGTTGTCCTAGGTCAACATCCGTCCCGTGGGCGAGTTTGCTCCCGGTGTAACTACCCTACCTTCCGACTCCGTGGCAGTACCTGTGATTCAGAAGCTCCCAGGTGGACTGAATCCCCCTTTGTCTAATCGCCCCCACGCCCCCGTACTTCATGATCGTCGCAGCGGCCGATCAGGCCAGCGCGAAATTTTTAGTTGTCCTCAGCTACCTGCCAAACCTGTGCTCAGTGCCAGTCTTATTCAACAACTGCCTACTGCCCCAGCTCTTCCTCCCCCACCGGGCGTATTGTCGTCCGGGTCATCAGCCACTTTCAATCGATCTCAGACAGTGGATGATGCATGCTCTCTTCCCTGGCGGGAAACGGATTCTTCCAGGCCAACAGTCACTAGACCCAGGTGGCCGGGTTGTCAGACATGGAGTAAAGGTACATGATTTATGTGTACACCTTAAGTTTAATTCACCTACTCAGTGCCCCTTGATCGAATCCCTGAGTTAATGGTGATAGTATTCTGATGTGCGAATCTTTAAGCATGTTCTTATTCTCTATAGAGGAGAATGTCGGTAGTTCAGGTAGCGTAGATGGTCGTTGGCTTGTTCGCTGTGCTGGGCAATTTGATTGCAAACGTTTCATCACCAATCGAGGTGACATCATCACTGCGTGGCGGTGGGTTAGTGGTTGTGGTTGAGCACAACCACTAGCCCACTGCCACACACAACTACGCACTGATGATGTCACCTTGATTGGTGATGAAACGTTTGCAACCAAATTGCCCAGCTCAGCGAACAAGCCAAGGACCATGTTCTTATTCCTCCGTGAGCCTAGTTTTTTTCTCAGTTTCTCGTCAGCTATGTTGATGAGACACTTAGTGTTTATTTTCTTTCTGCCAACAATCAACTGCCACACTTGAGGTTGTTGATTGGATGTGCGGTTGTCTTGTCTTTATGTGCCTATGTGGATTTTTTATTCTTGGCGAATGCTTGTTATTTATACATGGTTGGTGGGAGATATTACGTGGTGTTTTCTTATCATCTGAGCAACTATGCGGTCTAGTAGCCTCATGTGGCTGTTGTGTGACAGGCCACCAACCACAACTGCAACCCAATACGGTACTTCCCTTACCAGGGGAATCTTGTGAAGTTGGTGATATGGAACTCCTCAAACCACAATCACCTTTCGAGGGACAGAGCGCAAAAGGATACACCGCGATGGGCATTGTTGCCCATCTCTCGGCAAAGACTAGTGTCATGAACAACGCTGATACACTATTCTATCCTACCCGTCAACTGCTATTGACCGAACCGCGCCGGACTTGACTTGGTCGATAATGGAGATTAGGATGGCTAGTGGGAAATTAGTCTAATAAAGCTGGAACATTGGATATGCCAATGCACAGCTCGATACCAATTAGGTTCTTCGTAATTCTCTTTGTTTTTCTTAGTGGGATTAGAATACACCGAAATAATCTGTCGTATTTTTGTGGCTATAGTTTAAGCTTCTCTAAGCAGCATAAAATTGCCCCCTCTTGATGACCCTGATTACATGGACTGACGAGCCATAATAGGTTAACCGCGTTTCACTGTATTCGTCACGTATGTGCGCAAATGCTGAATTTCCGGACTATTCAGTATGGACATCATCCTAGTACGTCCAAATCTTCACCAGTCCGGTGCACAGGACTTCAGTGTCTTTCTCTGAAACCACTCGAAGGCAGTCAGTGTCATTGAACTGTTCGTATCAGTCACGTGAAACCTACTGATTACCTTATTGATTACGCTTGTACAGTTGTTTCAGCAACAGAAGCCGATCGAATTGTATTGGCCGATTATGCGACTATTGCATGCGAATGCTTCAACATCCGATCCTTAAAACCCTCAGTCGCACCCTCGTCTTAGAGAATCGGAGCTTAAGCATTGTTTCGTTGTGAACCTTCTACCCAATTCTTGTCCATCACTCGATCTGGACCGAAATCACTTAACATCACCTTAGTCAGTACTACATATGGCTGTCTGCTCACTCATGGAAATGGCATACCAACTGTTTTATTTGGATTTTTTCCACATACCACCTCCAGGAGCCGCAAGTCGTATCATCAATCGTGTACAGAGTAAGCGAAAGCCTAATACCATCTTTGGTGGCTGTAGATGGCTTACCTAGTCACATTCTTGTCAATTTTCATGCCCTTAATAGCTTCCATGAGTAGGTCCGCTATACGTGTTGTCCTATGTGAACTGCACATTTTCTGTACTATATTTTAACACGTGCTTGGTCTACTTTACTTCCGCTTTCAACCATTGTGTACTTGCCTCACTGTTTGTACTACGTCACACTGAATCATGTGATCATGTGGGGGACACTTATCTGATTGCTTATACCAGCTTGCTTTTTGTGTGTTCTATTCTGGAGACTAATTATGTATGTTGGACCAGCAGTTATATCTTGCTCTGTCGTTTTAGGATGCGATATAGAACTGCATTCGTATTGTGGGTAAATGCTGTTTTTCTCACCGCGTAATTCCGCATGGGTTTATAATCGGCGAGAAATACGAACCAAGGGGAATCCGTCAAGAGTTGGGTTTACATTCATTTACAGAACGTGCATTCCAACAAATGTGGGTATCTACTCGACCCATATGTGATATCACTCCAAGCATTCGTTTCCCTTCAACAAACCTCTCCTTAGATTCTTCAGTTATTTGCTTTCAGTGTCGACGGTTTATCTCCATTCACTAGCTGGCGTCCAGTCAACAGGGTTTGAACCTTGAACGCTTCACATACTTGGTTTTCAATGAAGCCGAATTCGCTGCCTCACCAGTAGGGGCCCAACACATTGTCTATGGGAAACCATCAGAGGTTGAGATTGAGGTCAGATTGCCTGAGTGAATGTCTGGAGGTGTAGGCACCTCGGAATGATTGCGTTAAGCTAGCACCAAGTCCCTCCCCCATCCACCTTTATTCTTTTCTTTACAATAAAGCTTTCGAATAAGTCATGGTTGTACGGCAGTGAATCATCGGCGTTGAACACTGATGTCATGCTGTCGATGATGATGATGATGATGATCAGAGGCATCAGAGGTTTGTTTTCTGCCATCAGCCGATGTGTTAGTGGCTTTGGGCTACCCGTTCGCCGTAGTTCTTCCTAGATAGCTATAGGATTACAAGTTGACCTCCAGTTGGCCTCAGGACTTGCAATTTCTGCCGACTCATAGACACTTTATTGTGCGTGTCGTGGATAGAAACGGGCTTCAGTGGTTGAATACGTACATGCGGTGATTGATCTCCGATATTAGTGGCCTACATCTTCAACTGATTGTAGATCAGTCGTTTCACTTTCACCCTCACTCTATTGGCCAGGGTTTATAGCTGACCACTCAAACGCAAAAACCACGACAGCGTTTGATTAGTTCCTACCACGTGGATGTTTTGAATCAAAGGAGTTGAAAGAGTTTAGGCGCTGTAGGTTCTTCGTAGGTGGTGAAGGGACTGGTGAATGCACACCGATCATATTAACTATGATCGCCGAGGGTGGCATTTATCGTGAAACAAATGAGTGAAGGTAAAACTTTCAATGTGGCTAGCCAAAGGCCCGCCAACATACTGCCTGACAAGGGTGTTGTGAATGGTGTGAGTTACGTCAGTCCTCTTGTCTGCTTGTGTGTGTGTGCGCGCAATACACGGTTGCATTTTGCACACCTAACCTTGGGACTGGTGTGTCTTGTCATATCCGACCCGTTCTTGAGTTGTCTCCGAACCAATTGACGAATAACGATTCACCATGGGGCCTGGTAATGCACGAAGGCGTCATGTAAAGAGCCACATATTCAGCACAGCCCATCTATTGCTACAACATGTGCACTTTACCAAAGTGAGCCCGATGGTCCTCAACTAACGCGTGGAGTGCGATTACTGAGTCACGCCCCAATCTGCGTAAATCGCTTGTGTTTTTGGAGCGGGTGGTTTGAGTTCGCTGATTTGCTGAAGTTAAACATAGTCCCAATCGACACAAGCAGTTTTGTAGACCGATTGGTTGGTAAGGTCGTCTGGACTAACCGCGTTTTTTGTGCGAATCAGTTGTCTCTGCAAGTGTTGTCCATTTGGAAAGTGGTGCGGATGTTGAAATCGGTGAATACCTGTCGGACTGTTTCACATATGTGCTGTCCCTACGGAATCCGCCTTTTTCAACCCTTGATCCGGTTGCTGTATTTGGGTTGGGTGACTGTTCCCCGTTGATTACCCGGTGTTTGTCAATGTTTGTTTTAGATGAATAATCTCGAATTCCAACATAGCTGTATTATTAAATATCCTATTCGCCTGTTCAATCAGTTTTTAACCAGTGGATAAATATGGTTGCATTTTAACTGATGATCCGATTGGTTGATGAGCTGTGGTTTCAAAGTTCCAAGACAAGAAAAATAGTCGTTCTGTTAGGTGTCTTCCGTGACACAACAACTCTGTCCTGATGTAAGGTGTGAAATATTCGCAAGCCACACATGGCTTTCATATCAGTCACAATACATACGACTGTATGTTGACCAGTCTTTGGCTAGCCACGTTAATAGTGTGTTCATATCCCCTGATTAAGGTCCTTATCAGTGGTCGAGACGTTCACACAGTAGTCATTTCAGTGGATAGAGTGGATTAGCGAAGAGATCACTGAGGTCTTGGAACAAAATCAACGAGTCCCAAGCGGTAGTCTCATCAGTTTTGATCCTATGGAAATCGTAGTACCTCCTTGTCCGTTTTCCGTTTGTGTGTGTTGCTCGAGTGTAGCTTAACTTCTTTCGTTAATCATCGTAATTCTCCGAGTTATAGCCTCACCTATACCCGGCTGCATAGCTTTGCTTTTACGCACATTGGTGAGATGATCTTGCTTGCTGACATCTGTTGTAAGTTGAGGTATAAGCTATTTGATTAGCATATTTGTTTCATTACCACCACGTATCCACTTTGCTTACCCCCTTCTTTTTTGACGGTGATCCAATTCTGAAGAACTCATAACATTTACACGCAATTTATAACCATTTCGAGGCCTCCTCTGCTGAGCATTGAATGTGAAGCTCCTCATTCTGTATAGGCGTATTGGAATTGAACATACCAACGCCTTGGCTCACAGCGACAGCTTATTCCATGAATTTCTCTTCGGAAAAACCCTAAACTTAGTAAATTTGCTGGATCGTGGATTCGGATCTCATAATTATTAATATCCGTTGCGGTAACCTCGCAATATCGGTTGCTACCTCCTCGGAACTTATTAACTGCATCTGACTCTATCGAGGGTCCAGCACGTCTCTTGAACACAGGATTTTGTGAGTAAACCCTTTCGTCAAGCTCATTAACTGATTCTTAAATAGAAAAAGGCTGCTAGCCTACTGGAATGTAACGTTTTTTGAATGCAGCCAACCAAAATATAAGAGGACACTAAAGCTACTTACATGGGATCACAAAAGATAGACGCTGTTAGCTTTCCGTAGTCATTTCTTTCTGGTTCATTAGCCTTCTTTGTCCGTCATTTACTGTGTTATCAAAGTGGTGTGTAGGAGCTATTTGGGACCAAGCTGAGAGCGAAACCGCACATGTTTTTTTCGAACGCATACCAAAGGTTTTAACAGGCGTATGCCTTTTCATCTCGCTCACAATCGTTGTTGGTACCTTTTGGGTTTGTATGGTGGCACTCCATACATGACTTTGGGATCAAATTGATGACCAGCGTGTCCACCAAAAGGGCCAATATGGTACTCGAGTTTGTGTGACGAGACTCCTAGTCAATGATGCCCTGCCTTCGAATGTTTTCTTGTCAATAACTTTTTGTCTGGCTTGAGTAATTCATTTCACGGGAGCGTGATCGGGAATAAATGACCATGATGTTGGTTAGCGTGAGACGTTTATTCCTAACTCTTTGAAAACAGGCAGATCGGTTAACAAACAATATGTGAACCTTGCTGCGCCATAACTCCGCGTCACGAGACCAGTCAACCTTCTGGATAGAATGTTTGTCGGTTGATCACCGTCGCAGGGTAGTTGTATCAAGAGTGGCTTTGTACCGGCAGTCTGTAAAGCTGCCGCACGTTGACGTTCTTCCATGTGGTGTTGTACGTTCCCAGGTGAACTTAAGTGTAATATACATAAATTTTCGTCTGTCTCTTGGAAAGACTCATTTAGATGCTTTTTCGTTTGGACCTAAATTCTGTATACCTCTCCACTCGTTGAAACGTGCAGCAGCTTTACCAGCTTCTGGTTCCCACCCTCGGTTCCCCGATATTAGAAATGCCGTAGGAGACTTGTCTGGAACAAACGTCCAGTTTTCCGGTAATCGAACCCAGTGATGAGCTGGGACCCTCGTTTTAGGAAATCCGATGAAGGCTGAGACATTTTGAACAATGTGGTACACAAGATCATGTATTTTCCCTATCTCCAACACTTTGTCTCCATTCAGAAGCCGCACAGTGTTCTGATGACATTCTCAGTCGTGCGTCATGCTTTCTAGACCGAAATTTCAGATTGGCAGTATGACTGACTGAACTAACGTAGGAAGATACGCGTCTTCACAATGTTGCTGAGAACTCTTCGACAGCCCACGACCGGTTTCGCCCCTCTTGGGGCTCATCAGGTGGGCGCAGTCCCCGAGTTTCCGTCAACCTTATCTTCTACTTGAACCCAAATTGGACTGTTTTCAAGAGATACACTCATTTGCAAATCAATTTGGTTTTCACGAGAGACTCAACTAAATCTCTTGTTTATGGTATTCACCACCGTTAGTTTCCACCCTTTTCACTGTGAAATTGATTCGGCTGTCCTATTATTCTCACCACTGGCACCGTAGCGGCAGGGTTATTCTTAACTAAGGATCCAGCGTACTCAGAATTTCGAGGCGAAAACAAAGTGTGCATCACATCGCATCCGCAACTCTGCCAGTCTGCACTCCCCCTGATGTCAGACATATTTGTTTCTTCCCCATAATTTAAACCATGTTTTAAACCTTGATATATTTCTCTTCTGCATAACACCACTTGCACTCCCCGTATATTCTTGCGTTACCATCGCATTGCAGAGCGATGCTCTATTTCTGTCGTAACTTTACCGCCCTAATACCCTGAAAACACGTGACCGATCACTAAATCATAGGACCATTTCTTACTGCGTAGTGCAATCCGTGTCCCAGAACGAGAACGGTGATTCTTCACACGGAATTTCCCACCTCTGTCAGTGAACTCCTTGCCACAGTGTACATCGATCGATCGCCCATCTTTTTTCCCGTTTCGAATTTTTCTGTATGAATTCAACCGTTTTCTTCGTCGCGCCTATTTTATGTTGATTTCAAGTAAGAAGTCTTTAACTAGTGAAGGCTCTTACGACCTGTTTCTTTCTTTCTATATTTCACGGAGCACACTTGCTTTCTGGACTGACTCCGATTTTCCTGGTTGTGGTAGTGTTTAGGCCAGTTTTTGTAGCAGCCAAGCACCATCCGGCTCACATTCTTGTGTTTTTAAAAAGGTAGTGGAATTATATGCTAACTGCAGTTACACTCTTATTCGACACAAACGTGTTTATACGATGAAGTTGCTCTTTCCATTCGTTCTCATAATTTCCTAGTAAAAAGGTAGTGGGATTATATGCTAACTGCAGTTACACTCTTAGTCGATACAAACGTGTTTGTACGATGAAGTCGCTCTTTCCATTCGTTCTCATAATTTCCTACTCATTAATTGGGTGTCCCTATCCAGGTTCGGCGGAAGTATCTACCTAGCGTTGCAAGAAGTTCTTGGTGCAGTACGCAATCAGATTGAGCACTGTCGCATATTCAGAAACAAACGTTTGCCGCAAGTGCACGGTCTTTCGCGGGATCGCGTATTCGGGTTAGGCTGACAGGAAACATTGTGGTGTACTCTTTGGCGAGGCGGTCTATCTTCGGAAAGTTCTATCTTGGAGGGAAATGTATTATGTTTTATTGCACTTGAGATCAAATGGTACTTGTTCACTGTCCTGTGGTTTAAAGACCTTCCATGGTGGGCATCTTCTTTGAGTGACAACCGATGTTTGACGAGTCTGCTGAATTCACTCATACGTAAGCTAAGCACCCATCAATGGTCTATATCCTGGAGTTTGCTATGGTTCTCTGAGTACAAATTCTAATGGCGGGTTCGATACTGGTCGGTTCCAGGTCTCGGATGAATGAATTCCATTATCCAAAAGGATAGCAGAATTTTCCTTCGGAGGCGTTTATCTGTATCGAAAAGGCTGTAAATGATTGTCCACTGTTAAACTTTGGTATCGTTACAATTAACGCGTATGTGTACAGGTTGCTCGGCGACAGTCTTTTTTGTCAGGGATAGTTCACTTCATATCATCTATTTGTTGTTCCACTTAGACCCACCCTTCGTTACTTACCATCTAGCCCTACTCCGACCGTTGGCATAAAAAATGTCCGTGCTTGTTGACCATACTCGATTTCGCTACCTGATGCCTATGAATCACATGCAATAGCAAAGTAAGCCTTCAAGGCCACACTGTTGGTTTCCAAATCTACACTTATCCAATGGTCCAACGCGTACACTAGCTGGCATTTTCGTCGTACTTGCCTATTCCGACTGAAATTTTATCGTTTGGTAGATAATTCGAAGTTGTCGAATATCGTTGGCTTCTGTTGAATTTTGGAGAGCCTGTCGATCCTACTCAAGATTTTGGGGATCAAATGTCAACGAATGTTCCCATTTTACAGGAGATTATTGTAGGAGATCAATGTACTATTACGTCGTTTGTTGCTCTCTTCTCATCAAAGTTAAGAGTGCACACTTTTGATGTCAGTGGGGAGCCGTGAAGATTCGTCTGAAGTTTGACGCCTGTGCTCTGCATTGGTTGTTTGATATAGCATACCTCAGCTTCTCAAGCGCATATTCCTGTGAGCCTAGGACAAGCATATCCTTGGTGCTTGCTACGCGTTATCCAACGTCGCTTATCCTTAATCGTGTTGTTTTCGTTCCTATGACGTATATTCATTATCCGCTTTAAGCACCATTTCTCTAAATTAGAACACCTGGTATCCTGCTGCTTCAGCTCAGTTTGATTGAACTCTGTCCGCGACCGATGCCATTCTCAATGTTCCACAGCGTCCTGTTCCCTGTGGTTTGAAAACCGAAAGTTCTATCTATGTATGATTCTGCAGAGGTGTAGCCTAGTATTCGACCCTTCTGCTTTCCGGTTTGCTGAGTATCTACTACCCTAGGGCAATTTTACACAAGGGTGCTTTATTTTGTCCAGCCCACTCTGATGCCTCATTTTCGCAGTTACAGGATCTTTTTGTACCTTCGCTGACCTTTTTTGCTGACGTTCAAATCACTTGACTTGCTACCCTATACGTATGTTTCGAAGGTTCACCTCCCACCATGGGATCAAGTATTCCAAGTCGTTCACTACACTGCAGTATCGTCGATAAACATATGACTATGATTGGGGTACCATAGGCATTGCATGTTCCACACAGTTGGTGAAAAGCACATCCCAAGATGATGTATCTGTGCGCTACACGGCCTGTCTTTCATTTCTATTCAACCATCTATAGAACCTAGCCGGATTGTGTCCTTAATCTGGCCAGCACAAAGTAAATTGATGTACACGTCAGACGATCCCTTTACACCTGCACTCACTTTAAAGCACATGATATACAGAGCACTTCACTATAGTCCTTCATCTAGAGGAGGTAAAGTCCTTTCTGATATCCAAGCTCATGCATTTTGTTAAAAGCATAGTGGTATGGATGTCATGCTGCACAGCTTTTTTTTATTCCCTACCTTTGTTACAGAGACGGGAGTCTCCGCAGCCGGAAATGGTATCTCCGCCAGTTCCGACTTGGGAACTTTCGATGTCTCTCCGGATAAACCGAATAGTGTCTTACCAGCTGCGCGTCCTTGGGAGGAAAATTCGTCCACAACTGTCGACAGTTTATCAGACGTCAGGCGTTGTGCAAGTGCTGTGCCGCATCAGTTGCGTTCTGATGACGCGGTGGCTCATCAATTGACTATGACCCAAAAGGACGATCGATCGGACTGGGTAAATTTTCCTTCTTTGTTCATGTAACCTGCTTTCTAACCATATATACCCTGCATAGTTAGACGTTTCGTCTTTCTATCACGTTTTGACCCTGGAGTTCCGTGAACGGTTGAATGCGTCAGTTTGGGTTGGTACAACATGCAGACAACCTCCACTACCTCTTTCTGAACTGTGGTAACCGTTTTCCCTGACTGTAGATCCAGACGTATGAATTTCTCCTGTCACGAGAGGTACTTGGCTGCTAATTCTATAGATACCACGTTTATTTTCGTCGGTTCACATGAGGCTTTCAGGAACGGCTCATCATCCCTTCAGGCATTTCCGAAAATTAGAGTCCCAGTGGAAACAGTAGTCTCTGTTGTTGGGTTCGGACGCACCTAATCCGTCGTGGATATGACAGTTTAATGGCAGAAACTCCCCTTCCTTAGGAAGAACAACATGTTAAGCTGTTGGTTTAATTTTTAGATAACCACCTCGTAATCCCTGACACTAGTGTGTGTGTGGGGGGGCATCACACTCATCTGCTTATTATGGTTGTATATATTCGCGTAGTTTCTTTCTGATGGGTCTCCATAGAAGCTTACGTGTTTTGATTGTGGTGTTCCGAATAACGTGTTTATTCAATGTTTTGGTTGACGAACCACCCATCTTTACTAGAAAAGGTTCGTTTTCGAGCACTTTCTTTCTTTTCAGGGAAAGCCGCCGCTCACCGACTGACTTACTCTTGAGAACTGTTGTTCCGTAGTACTGTTTTGTGTAATCGAATGTAACATAATTTTTACCCAAACAATCCTGTGGGTATTAGTCACAAAACTCTCACTTCTGTTGGGCAGTAGAGTGATATAATAACCCTCCTTTCAGGAGGGAAATGATGTTTTGGACTCTCTGGGTTTTCTGCTTTTAGGCTTATACTTGACTGAACTGTATGGCCTCCCATCCCGCTTCTGAGCAGAGCTTTTTCCTTCCATCCCGTCGCGCGATTTTCACCATAGTGCTTGCGGGCAAAATAGCTATCCCAAAATGGGCTCGCGAAGTTTTGGTATCTTTGGGTATATTACTGCCCCAAGAGGTCCACCCCTTTTTTTAAGAAATTAGAAAACGATGGGTTTTCTAATAAGACAACTCAGGGAACATAATGTGGGACCCATCGCAACAGTGGAAAGTTTTGTTATTTTAATAAACATTACGGATATTGGTAGTCGAGCTAAACATCTAAGACTCTCGAGTGATCATGTTATGCGTAAAGTATTCCTATCCTGTCATGTTGTAATGAAGGTCGTTTGATTCACTTGGAAAAACTTCACATAACACCGATCAATCAACGCAGAGCTGCTGACAAACGCAGTTGCCGAAGCCTGGAGCTGTAAAAAATCAACGAAACAACATGACGTTTCTTTGGGACATGTCCGTGGATCATGTGCGTCTAAGTTCGCACATTCCTGGTTCATTTCGGTAAATGTAGAATGAATTCTTCTGCAACCGAATGTCTCTCCTGGCTGCGTGATATCCCTCTGTTCTTTCAATAGGAGTTATCTGTAGGTATATCATGCCAGCTTATGTTCTGACATGTACCCATATCTTTACTTTCGACTCGATTATCAAGCAGGCTCTCACTCAATGAAGATCGTGGAAAAACTGAGTTCAACACTTGGGGTTATTTTCACCCATTTTGGAATCCCTGTTGTGCTTGATCTCGCTGCACATGACCAAAAGGTGACGGTCACTCCTATTCTTGAATCGCGTTGGACTTTAGGGTTATGAGTTATATCTTGTCTACAGTTTCATTCGATGCTCTATTGCAAATAATGTTCTCTACGTGTTGATGATCTAATCGCTTAACCAGTTCAGTTGAGAGTCAACCAGTGAGTCAATGAGTCAACCAATGAGCAATAGTCGCTTGGTTTTAGGGTCGCAATAGCAGTCGAAGAATACTTGCTTCGATTAACCAACAGATTGAACCTTAAAAGCACCACATATATAATGGGAATTGTACGAGGAGTACGTTCCGAACGGGATCAAGTTTAGCAAGAAAAACAGCTAACGAAATCACTAAAAAAAAAGTGGACTGTCTCCATACAAATTTCGGTACTCGGTTGTCCCGCTCGTATTCCAACACACGCAAAGACTGGAATCTTTCTCGCCCTTAATTCTGACACAACTCCTGCGAAGCCCGTCAGGTTTGTAGCCACTTTGGTGGCGCGCATGTAGGGTACGTACCCGCGTCGTCGAAATTGTTGCCCACTGTCTTGCACTCTCGGTCACCCGGACCAACAACTCAAGTTCTTTAGTAGATCCACATATATCTGCCCAAGTGCTTCTCTGGAACTCTGGGCCGGTTTGGGTTCAACCTTCTTATACCTACCTAATCACATTGATTTTTGAGCGCATTTTACCTTTCTGGCTTGACGTTATCTCAGTTAATGGGACAAAACTATTCTCCACTGACTAGCTCGCTCCCCTTATCTGGTTAGTAAAGAAGTGATTAGAAAACGGTATTTGAATGTGCAGCAGAAACATCGCGGAAAACATCCAGCTCCATCAACTGCAGTGACTTGGTCATGTGCAACGCATGTCGAAACACTGTCTACCTAGACGGGTGTTGTTCTCAGCGCCCCCTTCAGAATGACCCAAACCGTGAGGCGGACAAAGTATGACTTGGCAGCAGGGCGTGAAAGTGTTTGTTTTAGGTACGCTTTTCAGGATGGGTTCCGACCGACTCCGCCTGTGTTCGACTGTAAACGTTGCGAAGAATAGCGGTTGATCAATGTCAGTGGTGTTCGTGCTGTCAGTTTCTTTCCAGGTTGTCTGATTGAGCTGTTGGAGGTGTAGGCACCTCAGAATGTTTAACATAGGCCAGCACTAGGTCCCCCTTCCTCACCCACTCTTTTTACTAGGTCCCCTTTCTCACCCACTCTTTTTCTCTTCTTTTCACTCTAAGGCTTAAAATATAATAAGCCAAACTTCATGGTCGTATGGCAGTTAAGCATCAATATCATCACTGATGTTGCATTCTCTCTACAGTGCATCTGATTGTTGCGTGTTAAAACTTATTGTACGAAAAGTAGCCAGCGTTCTCAAGACTAGTTAGCCTGAGAATTTTTTGAACCCGAGCGAAACTATCACTACAACCGACTTCTCACTATTCAATGGTCCTGGATTTTAGCTACTTTGTGAGCAATTAACGAATCATGTCAACTTACGTTGTCACATTTGTCTTCCGGTTGAAACTCTTCTCGCTGGAACTTAGGCATTCTTGTCGCCTAGGTGACAGAAGCAAGCCTTTATGAGTATGACCAGTATCACATTGCAGTACAGCAGGGCGTTCTGGAACAGCGTGGTTGCCTTGAACGATGGCGTGTGATCAGCTGGCTTACTAAAGAGAAGTTCAGGTCAAACGTCCATATTGGGGAGGCTATGTAAGCATTTTCCTTCCTCTCATGTCAGTACCTCCCTCTGTTGCCCGTCTGATTGAATAAATGTGCTCTCTACTCCGCTTTCCCTTGACCAGGTTTCTGGATATCTTTCTGTTTAATTCAGCTCCCCTAAATAGGTATAATTGAGCAAGTGGCTTGTACTTCACAATTTCTTTTTCGGGTACGTCGTGTTGGAACGGGTAATAAATTTTTTTGGCTTCGAAACGTCTTCGTTTGGTTCATTGTCTACCTCAACGGTTGATCCAGCTTTTCATAAAGGCTTTCGTGAACATCTTCCTCATCTTCTCTTGTATACTACAAGCTTCCCGCTACCATACTCTAATGGAATGCGCGTTCACTAACAATGTGGACATCGGGTTTCCTCATTCCGACCCACATGTTTTGTTCGCCCTAATATAATGTTTTCTTCCTTCCAGTCTGCATTTGACTTCAAAGCAACGGAATCTTTGGTTAGCCCGCAACTGACGAGTACCTCCGCTACAGCTTGGCCCACACAAACCAATCACTTTGAGAACTTCACTTCTGAGCCTACTACCCCAACCCCTCCAGAACCACCCCAACGAAGCCATAGCAAGTTTCCGGCTAACGTTGGCAGTGCCTTATCTATACCTTCTTTGAACGCGTTCACAGTGCCTCACTCAACGACCGCATCGGTCAGTAGCCTACAACCCAGTCCGACTCCTCCAGGGGCTCTCTCGGTAGCCGCCGCATTCTCCGAAACATGGCGCGCTCACTTTCTCAACGGAGGTGGTAGTTCGTTTTCAACCATCACACCACCTCCAGTTCAAACTGTCTCAGGCGAATTGACCCTGGCATTTCCCACACCGGCTGTGAAGCAGCTGGTTTCTGCATCGTCGATTGCACCATTGGTGCTGAAGTTGACAAATGCTTTTCGTCTGAGAGACATACAATCCAAACTAGAAGGAGCCTCCATCACGTGAGTTTCTGTTGGATTCGAGTGATCCATTCGACCTGTTTTACAGTTCCCCTCATGGGTCACTTTTTTGAGCTACTTAGTCGGTTCTAAGTGATTGGTTTTAGTGAGCAACCTCCCATACGTTTATAGGATTAATTACACACAGCCACTGTGTACTGTGTGGGAGGCAGCTGGTCGCAGATATTATCAAACTACTCACACAATCACCGTTGTATTTGAATGGATGAGACTACACTCATCTCTTCTTTGCTCTCCGCCGTGGTTCGATTGCTTTTGTCGTTGACATCATTGTTCCATATGGGCGAGATTGCTTAGTGGTTATAGCGTGAATTTACCAACCGAAAGGTCCGTGGTTCGAAACCTACCTCTGCCTCTCGAATTCCCTTGTCTAAGCCTCGTGCTTTCTTCTGGCAGCATGGCAGTTAGGTACCGAAAGGGTGCAATAGCTGAACGATTTTTTACACTGTCTGAGTACAGTTCTCCGTATCGTTTCAGGGCTCTGTGCTCCTGATTTCTACGTAGACTGTATCATACGGATTTTAATGAACCTGATATCACCCTTGGGAATTGTCTTGTTTTTCTGAGGAGTTCACTGTGCTGGTCGTATAGCGAGCCGGCAGCTGGCGGTGTGAGCGATTAAGGAATTTGGCTTGTGGATCTGTCGTGAACCGGACTGTTATTCAATGATCGTTTCCTTTCTATTTCCTGTTTTTTTCTATTTCTTGTTTTTCATGCTCATTCTCATTAGCATGAACGGCAACATGGTCGTTGGCTTCACCATCGATCCCGACGAATGTTCTGACGGTTGCGACATCATGTGAATGGAATTTGACCGAATGCATACTATGGAAATTATGATCCGTTTTTGGTAGGATACATAACGGCCTCTGTAGATCCACTCAGTGGACTTTGGTTAGGACTAAATGCGTTCTGTGGCCAAGGCTTGTTGGAAATCACTTTCTCTGATTCGTAAGTGCGGTTCCGAAGCCGTCTTATGCGGCGGCTCTCTGATACACTGTTTTAGTGAATATGATTGGGCTTAGTGATAGTTCGATTTGGTCACCAACAATAATGACGTTCGGACATGAATCCAACCCGAAACCTGATGAAGTGTTACTAAAATTGCAAAGGGTAAGAGAGCAGTATTTAAACTATTTGAATGAGTATGGTGTAAATGGACAGGAAATCGAGTGAGACGACATTGGCTACCTATCAAAGAACAATTAGTTCAGGTCACCAATAGGATGACTTAAGCTAGTCAGCGCGGGGGTGTTGTGGTTGTGCGTTCAGCACAAGGTGCATGTGTGAGGGGAGGGGAGTCGGACCATCGTAAGTACAACACACGAACAAAGCGTTTTTGCCGACAAAGGATCGGGTCGCGATGTCTGTCGGCGATAGCTTCAGCCACTGCAATTGTGCGCTGCTGTACTGATCTGGGTTCATTAGCCGGCGCCTTATAAGCAACGCGGAAACTTTGGCTGGGTATCACGTGTCAGCTAAATGTTCTACTACAGAGTTGGTTATTGTCCTCCTAGTTCCAGAAGCTAACCAGGTTGGATTGTGTTCCTTCATTCTTTGGCCGAGTTGCCTAGTCGTGCGTCCGATGTATTCCGCTGCATAGCAGCAAGAGAATGAGTAAACTAACATATTTGGGGCGTGGACAAGCACTCTATCCTTGAGATTAAAGGGGTACAAACGGTTCCTGTTGAACTAGGTTCGGACTGTGGCGGCCGGGAAAACTTTGTTCAGACTGGTGGAAAGTCTTCTGTTCGGTAGATCGGCCGGTATATCTCCCTTAAACGGGAGGCTAATGTAAACTG